GGGAGGGTGCGGGAGAGTGCGGGAGGGTGCGGGAGGGTGCGGGAGGGTGCGGGAGATCGATTGCAAGCTGCTCCTCCGGCCGCCGCCGCACCTGCTCCAGATGCTCTTGCCGGTGCACGCGGCGCAACTCCTCGTCGCTCGCCAACCGCGCCTCCTGCCGCTCACAGCGCTGCACGAGCCCCGCGGCGCTGAGCGCGTCGTACGCCTCGGTCACCCGCTCCGCCACCTCAATCATCCGCCGCCGGTCGCGCGGCGCCGGAGAGTGCCCGACCCCCGCGGCGTAGTAAAAGGCGACGCGGCCGCCGCCACCGCCGCCCTGCTCTGCCAACGCCCGATCGTCCGGTGCAGGAGTGGCTGTAGGCGGTGGCAATGACTCTGCACGGCCCGCCGGCGATACGTCCCGCCCCCTGCCTCCTTCTCCCGACGCCGCAGCCATTGCGGCCCCATCGGCCGCCGATTGTCCCTCAGCGGCGTCCTGCTCCGCCAAGGCGGCGGCCGGTCCTGGCGGTGGCGGCGGTGGTGTGGCGGCTGCGGCCGCGGCGGCGACAGGCGCTATTGCTGTTGAGGCTAGTCCTTCGGCGAAAGGTGCGGCAGTGGCGGCGGCGGTGGCTGTGGCCGCCAACACGGTCGATGGCTGTGGTGGTGGGAGCGGCTGTACAGGCTGGGCCGGCTGTACTACTTCGCCGCCTCCGCCACCATCCGCTGCTCCGCTTCCCACCGCTGCTTGCTCGCGAGAACCCACCGCTGCTCGCACCTCCTGTTCTAGCGATGCACCTGAGGTTAGACTACAGCTGCCGGTCGGCGCTGCGGTATGGCGTTCATGCACATGAGCGTGCATGGATTTCCCTTAGGCATAGGATTTCCCTTTTGGGGGGGGGGTGTGTGTGTCTGTTCTCGAGGTTCTCGAGGTGGATATCCTTTGGCCGCGTTGGGTAGCGAGTGTGTGTGTGTGTGTGTAATACTCACCCACTAGTGGGGGACCTGCGGCGGACCCGCCTCTGTTGTTCGCGGGCAGTGAGAGACGCAGGATCTGCACGCCAAAGTGGGGCCACTCCGCATTTTCATTTTGGTTTTGGGTTGTCGGAGATCATCCATCAGCACTCATAAGTCAGTCAAAGCAGTCGTGGCGCGTGAGCAGAGTCGCTGCATGCAACGGCGCCGCCACACGCTCCGGACGACCGACACACCGACACACCACGCACAATGGTAGGCCATCGCGCACGATCGGCCATCGCACCCACCGCAAACACCTCGCCGCACAGATGGGGGGAGGCATAATCCCACACACACCGGAGCAGCGCAGACACCTTACACGTCAGCGCTCGCTCGATGTGGCCGGCGCTCTCCCCTCTCCTATCGCCTTTTCAACGGCGGCGTGCGGCCACGCGCCGCGCCGAGCCGGTCTCGGCGGGAGACCTCGGAGCCGCACGCGATGCGGGCATGCGCGATGGCTCCGTTGGCTCCGTGCCTAAGGCAGATAGATTAGGGTGTGAGCTGCGGCAGCCACCGTTTCTGTACCTCGATCACGTGCAGGCCGTCGGAGGCCGCGCTGGATGGCCCAGGGCCGGCGGCGGTGAAGGCGTCCGTCGATGAAGGGATGTCGTCGAGGGAGCCATCGTCCTACGCGGCTGGTGCACCGGTCCAGTTGTCGGAGTTCGAGATCGCCGTCGACTTGGAGAGTTCGGCCCGTTGACGAACTCACGGAATGTGAGCGACTTGGTGCACGCTGATAGTCGAGCATCATGGCTCGCACCTCATCCTGAGCGCAAGGAACTCGCCCAGGGGCCAGCTGTTGGCGTCGCCGTTTTGATCGAGCTGCATCCACTGCATGGTTTCGTAGTCAAGCGTAAACGCCCAGGAGTTGGTGCCTGGGTGACTTGCTGATGAGAGCGCCTTCCAGGCGAGTAGTCGTGCCCCTCACCTAAGGTCATACGGCGGCGTCAGAGGGGGGGGAGGGGCGCGAAGCGTGAACATGGAGGCAAGCAGGTGGTGGCTGCAC